AAGCATTTTGACCTCAAAGGTGCTTAAGTGAGATTTACCCACGGGCTTACCTATTTAACAAAGCAATAAGAACTAATTTGGCGTGACAAAGCAACAAGTGATTTAACAGTACGTCCTTAATATCCGTGGAAACTATAACTTTGTGGTATTAACTTGTGACAGTCGAGCGACACTGACTTACTAACTTCCGTATTTGAGTGGATCAAACGCGTTAAACTCATTACAAACTTTAAGCTAGTTGATCCTTCGTCTTGAGTGATCGCCAAAACTTCGTAGTTATAGTTAAGTGGATTTTGGGAGTTGAACTGTACAAACAAAATAATATTCAAAACCAACCACAATATAGGCAAAATAGCAATATGGTGAGGGAAACCTATAACTTGAAAGTGCTTTTATTTTAATCAAGACATAAGTAATTTGAAATATACTATATATACTTACGGTGTCTGGACAGGCCCACGTACCAGATTTTGAATGAAGAACGTAATTTTTATGAACTTTGTGCCACACAGGTTTTTAAGTGTGGAAGAGCCAATCTTCGGCACGAATGGGTCGGTTTGACCGCACTGATACCACGGCCACATAGAAAACCGACGTGAAACAAGCACAGCGTTGTGTTTCGACATGTGACTAAGGTATCCGGAGGCCCGATGCCTCCCCCTCCCCCCATCTCTTTCCAATCCTTAAATATCCCAAACCCTGATTCCTAAAAGGCCAGCAACGCACTCATAACTCCTTTGGTATTGCGGTTGTGGATGGGCGGCGCGGATTGCTTACCATCAGGTTATCCGTCTGCTCGTTTGCCGACCTATATCACAAAAAAAACCAAGTTTATCGATCGGGTACTCATATTAAGAGATGAAATTAACCCTTAGTATGAAAACACACATATCCTACGTGTTTCATCATAATTCATAATGTACTAAGGAACAAGAAATTGTTCCATAATATATATCACTTCTAAACTAGAGTACGGAATACTATTCAAAATAAAATTATGACTACATTCTTTTAAAAGTGGTGTTCTAGTGTATCTGTCTTGTGTTCTACTGTAAAGGGAACTTACTATCTCGGTCTCCTTGGCCGACCATTCTGCGTATTTGCTTTCGTAAGTCTAATAAATCTACATAAATCTGTAGTAATCCTTGTGGTGTCACAAATTGCTTTCCAGCTATATATCTGTCGCGTCACTCTGTGTCTCGACGATGTTATCTTTATATATTTTGAAGTTACTTTTATTTTTCTTCTTGAGAACGTTCTGATTTGGGTCATAGTGATTAAGGGTCTTATTGAATGTTTTATGCGTATCCAGTCTTCAGAGACAGGATGTCCCTTCCAGGGTCCCTGGAAGTAGGGATCAAACTGAACAGAAGTAAAATACACATACACATCATTATTATCATATATCATCATACCATGATTTCCATAGGATAAAGAAATTCCATTAGAAAAAAAGTGATTTTACACAAGACTAACATGGTTATCTCAAAAAAATGTTTTACTTATGCAAAATGATCAATCATCATCATCAGCCTATAAGTACCCACTGTTGAGCAAAGGTCTCTTCTCATACGGAGAAGGTTTATCATCATCGGAATGATCAATCAGCTGTTGCGATTTCTATGGGGATTTTTTTCGATATTGGTCCCTTGGAAAAAGTTGTTTTATTTGAGCACCAGAATCGGTCCTTGAATATGTTCCTTGTTCAAAATAACACTTTGTATGTACATACATATATACTTTGCTTAAATAGAACTACTCAAATTTATTAAAATTGCAACCATGCCACTTATATTGTTAAACTCGATATAACATAGTACAATTGGTTAGACTAGCAGAATGTCGGTACTTATGTCAGCTTGGAGTTGTCATGCTCACTCATAGGTCACGTTAGCGGCGGGACGGGCACTGCGTTGAGGTGGGCGATGCTGGTGTACGTGTCATGTTCGTAAACGGGCGCCGTCAATATGGGTTAGTCAGCTCCGTACTGTACTCCATACTCCTTATTAAGCAGTGTTAAACTGTTCTCACATAATTGACCCAACTTAATTATGTGGGTACCAAAGAATCTGTATATGAAACTGATATAAAAAGTATTACTCTGGAATTTCTTGCTCGTCCTTCTGTCGTAAGGGTCTATTTGAAAATAATGATTTAGAATTTACTAATCCTTCCCTTTTCCCAACTTCAACCCTCAACTTCCTAAACTCCAAAAAACTGGCAACACATTTGTAACTCTATACATAGAGTGGCCATTGGCTGTACCAATAGCTTACCAACACGTGATACGTATGCCTGTTTGCTGATTTTATCCTTTAAAAAATAGAGAAAGCTCGGAAAGTTTTTATTTCAGCAGTATTCATGGTTCAAACTTAACAGCAAATAGCATTCCATGAACATGTGGGAACCATGACTACACGTTAACCGAAATAAAATAGGGTCTTTTGAAAAACCAATAAAAACATATAAAACCTGTATAATCAAGTCCATTTTCTTTGGAGTGGTAGGCAAATCTGTCATATTAATACATAAACTCATTCTTATACCGACATCTAAGTAACAAATGAGAAAAACATCTTAAACACAAAGAATGAGAATATCAAAGTAGTCAGACCTATAAGTAGTCAGAATTGCTAGAACATAATTGGCTTCGGTGATCAGTCCGTCGACCTTTAACAGCATGTCGGGGGAGGGTTGAGGTATGTAAATGTCCATTTCAATGGAGCATTATCCGAGGCATTGTTATTTGCATTGTTTGTAGCTCGGGGCTGGTTCATTAGTCGCTGAATGAGCCTTTGCTTCATCTACATACCAATTGCTGATAGTTACTGGATACCAAGAGTATACAAGTACTACTTAAAGTTTAAATTCAGCTCTTAACGCCATGGAATAAGGGCTACCTGTTTTACATAAAAATATTACAAAGGACTTTAATTAAGTGAATTTTGTTCGAACCTTTGTTTAAAATGGCCAAGTGAAAGAACGTACTTTTATCAATACTCATAATTAGCTTGTATTGTTATATGTGACTTGATGGAACATAAAACATAACTACAGAAATAGTTTAATATTAGCATGATGAAGTGCATACGGGGATAACTGTCGGCTGATGTCCTATCACATTTAGATTAAAACTGTTCAACGGGCCTCTGCGAGTTGGCTTCGGCCCCTCGTACGCCTTCCAAAGGGCTGGGATCCTGGGATCCCGTGGAAGGAAAGAACATGATGATATTAAGTATCTTATATATAAAAATGGATCGCAAAATGTGTTGGTAAGCGCATAACTCAACAACGCCTGGACCAATTTGCTAATTATTTTTTTGTTGTGTTTGTTATTGTCAAGAGGAGGTTCGTATCAAAGAAAATATTAGAAAAGTAGAGGGGAAGATTAGGAAAAAGTGACGCTTTGATAGCGAGATAGTTGGACCCTTGGGAAGCGGGGGCGGGCCGCTAGTGTTTAATAAATTTATTCATTTAATTTAAGAAACCAGTCCTTGTACCTACGGTAAGTTTTACCATTGAGTGGGCAATAGTATTCTCGAAATTATCGCGAGACTAGAATCAAAACCGTCCGACCAGTACCGAACTCCGCGCAACTAGCGCCTTAGAGAGCCCTCAGGCCACCACGGCCGAAGTCCAACCTGGATTGCCGTGGTGATGTGCGTGCCATCTAAATCAGCAAAAACGGGATGAATTTAAGTCAATAAGTTTTAAACTGGCTCTCGCCCACCTAGGAAGACAAGATATTGACCTCAAAAAAAAAAACATTCTTTATATTAACGTTACTTTTACCTTCGAGCAGCAAGGCGTCTCCCATCCATAAGGATTATATCCAACCAACTCCAAAAGGCTATAAGGAGGTCTTTATTGGAATTAATTTAAACAATGGTTTACATAAGCAACTATATACGTGATAAATGACTGAATGCCTTTGTTTATACGTCCCTAAATAGATATCAAACATTATGTATTAAAGATTTGCTTACATACCAACTTAATTGTATACATATATCCATTTTAAGTAAAGTAATGGAAATGTTATGTAAGACATCAATGAAGCTGTATTTATTTAATCACTGAAATACGACATGTAGTCTACGTTTTTTTATATGTAGGTATGTATCTATGTGTGTATGTAAAAACGAAACAACGAATGAATAAATACATATAATGTTATCTCCAATATTCTTACCTTATTTTGACTAGGATGACTGGACAGTAATGAAAAAAAGAACTGCTTATATAAGATCATTATGATGTCGTTAAAACATGGCTTATGTATCTTTGGAAACAAAAGTGCTAAATGTTAAATTTTTTTGAGGGAAAAAATCACAAAACTTACTTCTCTCGCCCCCTGAAAACTCTTCGCTCCTGTTTTGCTCCATGTCGGGGCTGTGATACCTTGTCAAATAGTAGGTGTACGTATGTACCTATTTAGGTTGCTTCGAAAAAAGTCCTAACCTAGAAATCCTCGATAAGAGTGGCAGTCCGTCCTATGTTGGACGCAGTCTTTTGTCAATGCTCAGTATGAACTATAAGCTTTTAATCTTACATATCGAAACTCAAACATTTTTGGTAATTAGAAAAACTTGTAGTGTAATTATTATTGATGCCATTTTCTTTTTGATACCACGGCCTCACAGAAAAACAGTTGTGTTTCGCCGTGTAAGTGAGGTTACCGGAGGCCCACTCCTTCCCCTCCCAACCCTCCCCAATCCCTATATCTTCAAATCCCTAATCCCCAAAAGTTCGGCAACCCACTCTCCAGCTCCACTGTTGGGGTGTCCATGGGCGTCGCTGATTGCTTACCATCAGTTAATCTGTCATCTCGTATGCCGATCTATTACATAAAAAAAATCTAATCACCGTTAGTTAAATTTTAAATTTTTATATTTTTCTAAACAGATTGATATTATTGATAATTTATTCGTTTACGTGCATTCAATAACAGCAAAATCTGTCATCATTATATTTTCCATCCAGAAAACGAGGTTATAAAATGCAATTTCGCATGATTAAACGAAGTACATAAATATTTTGAAACAGAATTTAATTTGAAAATCTCTGCGATTAATGGCTTCGAATAAATAAACACGAATACTGACGATCACAAATTTTATTACAGATAAATGTACAAACATTAAATCACTTTTGAATTTACATGTTCATTTTAAGATACATTTATATTTATTAAGTTGTTCATCGATTACTCGCACGTAGTTTTTTCTAATACACAATACATACATAGCTAGCTTTATTTAATTCTCAATCTTATTATCTAAAGTATTAGTTATAAATTGGTAGTACTTTCACACTCATAATTTTCACATAGATGACACATTATGAATAGTAATTACATAGAAAATAACGTCTTTGTATGTAAAATTTACGATATGATATAAAATTTATGATACAAATAGCGCATTGTTTCCCAATTTCTTCCTTAATACTATATACTTAAATGCTATACTGCAATAATTAGTTAATTAACAATAATTCTTATGTAAGCCGTCATAGCTTTGGCAACACTTTAATATACTGGCTTAAATTATCTGTGACATACGTACAAAAAGTTTTTACTCTTGACTTGTAATAAAATCGCATAGTTATATTAATATTATACACAAATATCAATTTCTAATATTCTAAAGAAAACTCAGCGTTTCATAGTGTACTTTCCTAATTACATTAATTTTAAAATATGTATATTTAACGTTAAGTTGAGGAATTATATCCGAATTATGTTAATTTTAAGTAATAATTTTATTATTTTTTTCGTAATATAAAAATGTATTTCATACGCTATCACTAATCCATTCATCACATAATGAATATTGTTGCTATAGTATATTACAATAGTCACAGGAACGTTAAATGCGTGCAGTTAATTATATTCAAAATGTTTTGTTTTCGGGCTTGAGTTGGTTGAGTTTGGAGTGGTAGCATTAGAGACGGCGTCTATTTTGTTAGAGAGTGAGAAAGGCCCATTGCTGAAAGAATTAGGGGTGCGAGGACTATGGAGGTCAGTTTTGTGGTACCCGTTGAGGTTTGGAAGTATTGAGATGTTGGTTGTCGTAGTAGCGTGGTTTTGCTTGATGTCGGGGCTGTGCGGTGACGAAGACGCAGGAGAGGCGGGAGAGGCGGGGACGGACGGGCCAGGGACTCCGTCTTCCTCGGGCAGGGTGCGCAGGCGCGGCAGCCTCCCCCGCCCCCCGCCTCACACTGGAGACTGATCGCCGCTTGCGCTCCCGCTTGTGATGTAATCCTGCGCAGTTCATTGCTACTTTCAAATTTGCTGGCAGCTAGCTATGTTTATTTGATAGATATAGCGACTACATACATTTATTCAAGTAGAATCAACTGGCAGTAGAACTACGTAAACAAATGTAATCATAGAATTATAGAACTTAAAGGATAGACTTTAAAGTATTTTAAAGTGTACACAACATAATTGGTTCATCAAGGTCTTAGTGTTATAGTACTCACAGTGTGCAGGTGCCTGCCATCGAGAGGAGGCAACAGTGATGTTCGTGGCACCAGCAATGTAGTAGTAGTTGTCTCCGACGCTGCCGACTCCCGTTTAGATGGGTGGCTGTACAACCTGCCCCACAGTCTTCTTGTTAACATCCGTATTCAAACATTCTCTGTGCATATACGCTAATATTTAAGTAACTCTAACGACAGGTTCACATAAACATTCTAGGCGACAATAATAAAAAAAGTTGAATAAAAAACAATTTTTAAGAACAGATAAAAAAAATAATGTTTATTGTAAAATGGCATGAAAACTATTTGGTAAAGAAAAGAAAAGACAATTCGTTTGAAAATCAAACAGCGATTTTTCGCCAAGAAGCTATTAAATTTACTCACAGATTTCGGTGCATGTACATTTGACATTTATCAGTTACATTACAGTTTAAAACAGAGCAGAAATGACAGTTACAGTGACAGATGACACATCTACACGTGACAACTTATCCTATAAACGAAGTATTTTCTTTTCTTTTACGAATACAAAAACACCGAGATAAAAAATTCCCATTCATTACAATATATTAAACAACGAGTTATTTTTTATTCGAAACTGCGAAAGCATTTCATGCTCATGTAGGTAACTACTTATGTATATGTATAATTTTGTTAAAGTGAGTTAAATGGATTAGTTATTATAGTTTAACAATGTATTTTAAACAATTTGAACTTAGAGTTTACATCATTGAATTAACAACATCGATTTTAAATCTACAATTTTAAAAGTGCAAAAGAATATTATCTTTGATAAAACATTGATACTGACGATTATTGATGTATTTAATTTTTATATTTATATTAAGTTTGCAAAAAAAACATATGCGAATATGTACTACGTATTGTTTGACAAAGTTGTACCCAAGCAGATAACATAATATCTACCTAGTGTTTGATGTGTCAAACTACTTATAATTGTTTCAAAATACAGAACATTGTAAAACAAGATCTTGATATTATTCCACAATTCCTCTTTGATAGTAAAAAAAACAAAATTTAACTTTGACCCTTATTTATGAACTTTTCTCTAGTGTTTTTTTTTGAAATTACCTATCAAATAAAAATAAAGTAGGTACTTAAGTTGGAAACTTTTTTCTATGCCTCTTTCTTGAAATAGAGTGAATGAACCGACAATAATAAATGCTCTTATTAAGTTTTCAAATGGGCTCATCAATAGTACTCGACGATATCTCGGAACGTAAAAGGGATACCAAGATTTATTCCACTTTCCTTCCGTTCGTTCGCACTTTGTTGCCAATAGGTATGGAAATTCACCCTTTTAAGTGAGCCCTTTTGAAGTCTACCCCCTTTCGAAAAGATATCAATGTAAATTCGAAAGGTATCTTGGGAAATAAAATCTATTAGCACCTTTTAAAATTAGTTTAGGAGATAGTGCGAATTTACTTGTGAGAAATGAACTCGATGTAGTCCCATGAGTAGACATTTTACAAGCAAGCTTTTACTATATTAATTAATTACATGCAAGATAGTTTACTATGGTTAACAACGTCTATTTTAATGAATGATGCGCTACATGTTATGTTATGTAAAACTAAAATAAAAGTTAAAACGAAAGGGTAAAATAAATTAATGAGGACAAAAAACAAAGCTGATTAAACATTGGTTTATTGTAAAATTAATAAAATATACGTAACAAAAATAAAACAATAAAAATTCCATCCAAATCCACATTATATCTTAGGACATCTTCTTAAATGCATAAAGTCCATTCCGGTAAGCAAATTCGTTGAAGGTCTATCCAGATTGGAATCCCTGGGCCTCTTCATACAGTGAGTCTATTGGGAAATAAAAATATCTGATCAAATATGGATTTGGGAACTGTTAAGGGATGCATCATATAGTTTTATGCGGGGACAAGCGTGCAGTAAGCGCTTCGTACACACAACTTATTGTTTTCATTATATTCTAACGGGTAGAAAAGGGCATTATTTTAATGTAATACCATATAATGTGTACTCATACAAAGTGTGTTTTAGTTTATCTAATACAACACACATGTTTAAATCATTTAGGTACTACATAGGTAAGTTTTGCTTCGATGTTTTTTAAGATCAGTTTAAGTTATTTTATGTATTTTTTAACGCCATTATGTAAGACGCCACGACTATAGCAGATAAAAAATCTTCTCCTTCAATGGAATGTTCTTTAAACGATTACCGTAAACATTTTACTTAAATAGAAATTTGTCTATCAAAAGGCTATTAAAACAAAAGCGATACTAAATTGTTTTGACTGCATTCTTAGTTTTTATACGCTTACTTCTTCCAATGTTACTTCGATTGTAGTTTTCTTGAGAAAATTTATTCGTTCATAAATTCTTTAAATTGGCACTTGTGTTGTATTGAATCGTGACTTTTGTTCGCTCTGGAAACGAAACCTCGTATTTCTGCAAGTCAGTGCTTTATTATCAGACGTCAATGACACTACATATTCTTGGAAGGGTACGGTAACAACCCACTTCGATTTCTTTGTATTTGACTTTGTAAGTATCGGAAAATCGTCGACGTATCGATATTCGGCCTTTTTTTCTTTGGTTAAATAGGCGCAGACTTTGTAGAATGTCAATATTTATTGAATCGTCAAAATTTCTGACTAAATATTGCACTAATAACTTTAAAATACTAATTTACTATCTCATTGATCAGATAGTTTGGGACTTGCAAAACTTTATATAATTTTATTGAAGTCGATTAAAAACTACATTGATATCCTAAATGATGGACACCAGGACCAAAAAGAGTCGTACAAACACAAATGTAACATCGTATACGGAACCTCTGTGGTTTGTCCTCAGTCCCAAGGTTGCAAATTTCCAATTACCTTATATTGTATCTCGCTTCACCTGCTTATTAATCGATCCATGAGTCAAGGGTCGTTTTGGAATATATACCCTAATTTGATACAAAACTCAGTACCCATGAAGTTTCGTCGTCGAATTAATGAAATGGTGGCCAATAAAATCCTTTGTGTCTGTTTTGATGAAAGTTTAATTATCCCCATACTGAATTAGAATTAGTATTATTATTTGTGGCCAGTTATTGCGTGCACAAAGACCTCGTTGTGTTCATTACTTTCCACATGCAAATAGGATGGGTTTTGGTTTAAATGGATCGCCTTACCGTATGCTTTCTGTTCGTGACCGAGGTGACCAATCCTTGGAGTAGGAAGCACCTCTCCTTCTTCCTCCTCCGATGGTCCGCCCAGTCTTCCACCTCTCGACGTGGTATCTGATCGCGTGCCGCACTTCTGTGTTCATGAAGCAGTAGAACAAAGCTACCAAGAAACCCTGAAAGAAAATAGTTTTAATATTCAAACATCACGAAGCGCCACCATTGTATTTTCTTTAAAATGGTGATCGATTTGCAGATATTACGGTTTTTATTGAAAATAAATTAACAATTACAATTGTAATTGAAATATTTTGAAGTCGGAATCGAATCGTTTTCATTAATGTTTCTACGCTGTCGAATATTATGTTTGTTTGTTTTCGTATGCGAATCGGTTTTTATTTGATCGCGTAATTTGTTTATTGGATGAATGCGATTAATCAAAACGGTTTGTATGTAAATAACATGATGTAATGTAAAATGTGTTTTATTGAGAAAACATTGTTTGTAAATTTCATTATATTTGTTTTCATCTTTATTTTTAAAAGGTCAAACCTATGATGGCATTTCGAGACAATAAGTGTAGAATATCATCCCTCTTCACTTATTTTATTACTTTTAGTAGTTTTTGTAGGACGAAATTTTACATCTTTCGAATTTAGAACTACGCTACGTCTAAACCACTATACTCGGAATTTTAATTCCATTCCAGATTTGACAATTTCAGTGTTGCAACGTTATGACACGTAATAAATAGTGACGTTGCGAAATTATTCGATATGGAAATCGAATATTTCTGAATCGATTGCTCTCGTTTATAAATTTACTCTCGTAAACTAAGTTTATCAGGAAATAAAATATTTCTGAACCGATATTTAGTTTTGACAATTAATTAACGATGTGACTTTTCTTTTGTAATTGTGTGTGAAATTAATAAAAAATGTGATCATGAAGGAACGTGACAAATAAAACAGACATTTTATAAATTGTCGCCGTCATCGCTATCGCTATCGCCGTTACTCTATGTAACATTTATTATGAATTGTGTCTTTGATATTTATTGTCAATTAACATATCTAGCTTACTCATTTTTTCCTCTTCTTTGAAAACATGGGATACACATTTAGACCATTCGGTAGCCGTAATTTTTTGAATGCCTTCCTGAAACTGATTCACTGATTGTTTATCGATTTTTGTGTTCATCACTACACTGTTATATGTGGTATCATTATTTCACAAAATGACAGTGGTCAATGTCAAATCAGGAATCGAATTAAAAGTCTGACTATAGGCAAATTTTCAATAAAGTGATTATAAATCGATCAGCAGTATTCCAATTAAACTTTGCCCTTATCTCGGTAAGAACTTATCGACTATGTAGTAAAAACTTAATAAACCTTCAATATGGCGGACAGTACACTACGCGGCTGGGGTACATTAATCCATCGCAATTTGAAAAGCGAGCGTGACTGAGGGAACATGCAAGCGTAAAGTTTGAAACTTCATTACGAGCCTGTACTTGGCAGAAGTTCAGACCTACGTCTGATTGTTTAGAAGAGGCTTCTTGTTTCGAAGTCAAAGGGAAACAGTTCTCAAGCAAACAGTAGCATGGAATGTAAGCAGCCTCAAGTGATCTCTCGGTTTCTAAAGGCGATTTACAACGGTTTTGTGGCAGCTAAGGGGTATTACACACTGCTAAATGCGTTCGAAAATCACTGGCCGATTGCAAAATTGGAAAAGTGGTTTGAAATTTGACTGTCATGATGCTAATCCGATTGTTGCAAATCACTTCATAAGAGTTATATCTTACTTTAAACTTAACATTGTAAATACAAACTTATTAGTGTATCACAAAAATTAAAATAAATTAATTATTTGTACATTTAGTCTCCAGAGAAAATTCAAACTAAAAACCATTACTGAAAAATCAAAATTCAATTGTAATCTTTTTTGACCGTGTGTAGCTGTGTAGTTTGCGTAGTCAATGGGAAAAGTAGCTATGTTTTATTCAATTGGAATCAAAGAATTCTTAAAGTGGGCGAGAGCTTTGCTTTAGCACGAATGGGCCGGCTCGACCGGAGTGATACCACGGTCTCACAGCAAACCGGTGTTAAGGAACGCTTGCGCTGCGTTTTGCCCTAATTCTAAACCGTAAATATCTAACCTCCAAAAGGCCAATACCGTATCGCATTGGTGTTGCGGTTATCTATGGGCAGCACGAATTGCTTACCATTAGAGTATAAGTAAGCTCATTTGCAGCCCTATCGCGTAAAAAAAGTTTTAAGTTTAGTTCGTTTTAAGGTTCTTTTTCAGTTGTGCTGTTTTTTTACCTGTGTTGAAAGCATGAGTGCTCGTGTATAGTCGAACGCGTGTGCGAACCAGGAGTCGTCATTGGGTCCACACAGCACGAGCAGGTTTGTGATGCCCAGCAGTGGGATCAGGACTAGAAGTGCCTTCGTTGCTTTCCGATACTGTTCCGTCTCCAATGTGTTGGCAGACCGCAGCTTTGTGATTAAAACCTGTTGAAATTTAGGTTTTAGTAAACAGGAATTAAGGTTTATATTGCACTAGCGGACCCTCCCCGATAACGCCCTCAGCGAAATCATCAACACCATCTGCCAGGCTGATTAGTGAATCTAAACCATCCAGGGCGTCACTCAAACGCATGCAGAAAAAAAAACATTTAATTAAATCGGTCAAGCCGGTTAGAAGGTTTCAATGACATACACACGTACAGCAGAATCAAGACTAATATTATAAATGCGAAAGTAAAAACTCTGTTGGTCCGTCTGTCTTTTCTTCACGTCTAAACTATTGGACCGATTTCTGTGAAATTTGGTACACACATAGTTTGAAACTCGAGAAAGGTCATCGCGACGGAAGTTTTTATACCAAAAATCTGCAGGAAGTCACTATTACGCGAACTGAGTCGCGGGCAAAAACTAGATATAAAAAGAACTGAAACTTATTTCTTGAATTCCATTCACTTTCTATTCAATTAATGTGAGCTTCATATGTTTTTTTAGGGAAATGTTTTTTTTTTCAAATAACATCAAATCTAAGAGGGACACGGCACGAAAATTGATATAGTCAATTAATTTCAATTTCGTTTCGCTATTCTAATTTCCCGAGAGAGGTTTAACTTGTGCCGGGTCATTCTACAAATTAATTTAACCCGTAACCAATCTACTGGAATAAATCTTATAGATTTACGAAACGAAAAAATATTCCGATTTTGGTTTGTAAGAAAGTTTAGGCAGGGATTAGGTTCGAAAAATCCAAATCCAATCTGTACTAATATAATAAAGCTGGAGACGTTTTGTTTGGTTGATCGCACTTATCTCTGAAACAACCAGATGGATTGAAAAAATGTTTTTGTTTGAATTATTTCAATCTTAAAGCTCGATTAGATACAAAGGGGCTGAAAATATTAAAAATTTGTTTGAAAATACAATACGACATTTTAGTGTCAATAATGCACGATCTAAATTCTACTTACATCTCTTGATCAAAGTCTGAACGGTACAAAATGCCAATTTTACTATCATATTGCCAGTAGTACTTACCCACATAATCCTAATGAGGAAGAAGAGATTGAGGGCGAGTCCAGCGAGTGCTGGCGCTTTGTGGATCCAGTCCACCTGGTGCTCCGACATCCAAATACACATCTTGGCTTCCCCCGCAAGGGCAAGCTGCAAATAGAAAACAAATATACTCCACTTATAAGATAGGGAGAGAATATTCGTGTGTGGGTAATATGTTAGATTCAATCCTTTACAACTCATGAAGCCTTCATGATATCTGAAATTATTTAAATAAAACCGATATTAAAATATGCACACTAGCAAGCTTTTAAGTCTTACGCTCAAATCCGGTAGTAAAAACTACATAAAATGATAGTGAACACATTATGCTAATGTGCAACTTTACTGCCGTACGGAGATTCTTAAATATGCAAGACGCTATAACGACCTTTATTGCCCTGAAAATAGAGTTGGTTTAGCTATAAAGTCAAATTGGCTGCCCTTTTCAAATTTCTCGCCGCCATGATGGTGTAATTGACCTTGGATTCGCGCTGGATTGGAAGCTTTGAATATCTGTCGATGATATCGTTATACCGAACAAATTGAGATTTTCTTTTATATACTGTTAAAGGGAAAAATTTATTTAGTAAATAATTAAAAAAGGTCTTAACACTTAAGAAAGTCTCTAGACGGGTTTAATATAGAATTGTGTATGTAATGTAACACCATTTAATTGTCAAATTGGCACATTTATTTGCAAGAGGTGCAAGCGTATAACAATGTAATCAGTATAGAACTTTTTTTTTGTTAAATAAAACGTAAAATTTGCCCTACACTAGGATTTTCTTCTGTGTCGTTGGTGCATTTACAAACATACAATTTTACATAAACATGACACCCAGACCTGAAACAACAATTTGTGGATCACATAAAGTGTTGTTCCGTGCGGGAATCGAACCCGCGACACATCGCATGGCAGCCAGTTGCCCAGCCACCGTACCAACCAGCACTCAAGTAATTAATTAAATAAAGTTCCTAAAGAAACAGCAAGACAACAGTTTAACTGTTTTAAAACAAAATACTTGTCTATAAAGAAAAAAAATATGTTCCTTTTAAGACGAAATGCAGATTAAGTATGTATATAAGATAGAAAAGTAAGTAGTTGGAGTTAGTTCCTTACCCCATCAGCTGCGTTGGAAGGCACAATGTTGACAAAGCACCTGCATATCACCCATATTGTTAGGAACACCGCCGGAGCACCTGCGGAACGAAACTAATGTTACTATTTGTATCCTTTCATCTTCCTTTATTACGCGAACATTTCCTTATTATAAATCTCTCTTATATTTCGTTACTTAATATAGCTAACACATTGTTTTATCTTCAAAGAGGCAAATAAATACAATCTAAAAGTTTATCAGTCTATAAGTGCCCACTGCTGCGCAAAGGCCTTTTATCACACGTGGAAGGTTTGAGCATTAACCACAACGCTTGCTGAAGGCGCATTGGCGATTTCAACCTTATATTTAGATATTATAAATCCAGGTTTCCTCCCTTCTACTACCACACGATGTTTTCCTTCACCGTATGCCAGCTTTCAAGTAATACCACGGCGTCACAGAAAACCGGAGTGAAACCACTTGCTTGCACAATCCTTCACCTTCCCCATCCCTAGTCCCCAAATCTCAAATCATCAGATCCCTTTTCTACAAAAGACCGACGACACGCAACTACTTAACAATGTCTACATCTTTACGTCTAAAAACACATATGGCCTTGTTTTGTGCTTTTTTTCTCATGGGATAATCATCTAATGACTTCTGCCCAGGGTAAGGCGAGAGAGAGTGCCAGGCTCTTACAGACTAAACCCCCCCCCCATTCCTTCTCCTGCTCTAGGCCGAGGCCGCGGTGACTCATTGCGCTTAACCCGCAACCCTGGCTGAAAATCAGCCCCATAGGACCCCGTCTCTGGCGGCTCTTTTAGATGCGCGCGAAACGCTACGCGCCGTTGCTTTATTTTGTGCTAGATATATTTTTCTAAAATGGACAACACAAATTGGAATAAACATAATAAAGATTACAATACTACAATATTTAGAAATAAACAATTGTTTCTAAAGAGTTTAAGTGTAACCCTTAACACTTAGAAAACACTATCAGAGCATTTGATTGGAGTTATTTCTAATGAACTCTCAGTAAAGTTTTAACAAGTGAAATGAAAAGCAATTACGTCGAGCTTGTAATTTAGTTCGATCATTGAAGTGTGTGGTAGTGAACTAAGTTCCATTGCAGTTGCAAAGTGAATCGGGTTGTAAAGGGTTCAACTAAGTGGAATTAAACAGAAAATTAGTTGTTTGATCAGAAACAATCATAAAGTCTTTGGTATAGAGCTCAAATTTGTTTAGAGATTTTTCTAAAGTTGATTTCTGAAGAATATTATAGCGTTTTTATGTTCATAATCAGAGACATTTAATGATTACTTAAAGTAATCCTTAGTAACGACTAGCTTTTTTTAGCTAGCAATTTCCCTATATATGAATTCCTATTCCTAGTTCCTCTTGTATCATTACATCAATTTATAAAAACCACATCAAAATCTGTCATGTCGTTTTAAAGATTTAAGCAAACATAGGGACATACAGCGAGAAGCGACTTCCGTTTTATACTATGCAGCAAGAGTGATAGCAATATTGATTTTGTCCCGGAATCAATTTCGAAGGAGTGGGTTAAGTAAACATTTAAAGACTTTGAGGATAGTTGTCAACGTATGTACTTCTTTTTGGAATATCGTCCTTGATATTGTTGTAATTATTACCTCACACATTTGTGATAGACAGGTAAAGTATTTAAGACGTCCTAATTCAACAGTTTTACTGACATCAATAGTATTATTATTACACATGGCATTCTTTAAAACTCTAGACTAGGAAGTAGTCAAACAAATGTAGTAAAAAACTTACCCCATCCTATAGTAGTATACACCTTCAGTTTTATATTCTCAGCGGTGAATGTTTCCACCACGAGCATGTACAGGTACAAACCTGAAATGATTCAGTCATGATAAACAATACAGTTACGTACATACGCGTCTGATAACAAACCTATTTATAAATCCTCTTATATAATATGTAATTGTGTATAGTAATTTTATTTAAAACGATGTTAAGTAACAATTTTTCGATTTTGCGTCTTTATTTTGTGATAATTAAGGTTGTTTTTTGTTAACCGAATTTTTTTGGATATGACCTTTAACCCTTAAAAAAAGGAGCGTACATCTCCTTCTTAAAAAGTTGTTGATACTTGTGACCTCTTTGGTTTTTCTGGTGTTCATGAGCATAGGTGGTTTGCTAAAAGCACACGAGCTGTCGAATCACCATAAAAATGACTACATTTGGGACTTCCTTTCGTTTAATAATTTACATAGTAAAATCCAAAAATACATTTAGCAATTTTTAGAAGTTTCTTACGCGGACGGATAGACGCGGTGGACGTCTACTTGCTACCAAAGTGAAAATAAAATTATGATAATGACAATTATTATCCTTTTAAACCATTCTTAAGATCTAGTACGGAGATGTGTATCGATTACAAGTTCGTACTGAATACTCATTGAACTTAGCATCCAACTTTACCGATCAACTGAGAAATCCGACCAAGATATATACATATATTCCCCATAGAGTCAGTTGTGAATTCAGATCCGGAGATTGCTCGTCGTCAAGTGCCTAGGGAACAAAGTGACAGGAAGACGTCTATAAGATTTATATATCTATTTATATTTTATATAAGACTCATACATATGTAAAACCTTGCATGCAGTAACATAGTTATCATAATGATATGTCGTCAAAACCATTCGAATCTGAAAATGGTATTTATTAATTTTTATACTTCTTGCACAATATACAATGGCGGACTTAACGCCTTAGGCATTCTCTTCCAGTTTGGGTGGTGGAGAAATAGGAGTAGTATGTGCATCACTATTGGAAAATTAACAAGAAATGTATTAAAGAATGGTCACTTTTAAGGCAATACGTTTTATCCCGGTTTTTAGGTATACATAATTAGGACGTAAAAAGAGAAATAATTCTTAATTTTAAGTTAGGAAAGTGATTGTTTATAAATAGTCTTACCTTCCACAAGCATCCAGAAGAAATTAGTGAGGTAAAAGTAGTGCATACAAATGACCAGAATCGTACACGAGGTTTGATCTTGTTGGGCCTCATCGGACCAATTCTGTGAACAAAATACAATGGATTAGAGTTTTAATCATAAAATCAATTTATTTTTGACGATAGTCTATTTATTATTTAGTTTTATATGTGACTTCAAACAAAATTACACTATTATCGGTTAAAAAATTTTTTATAACTCATTTTTCGGTATTTTTGTTGTCATAAAATTACAATATCGATAAATATTTTCATTATAAGTTTATATTCATGTCAATAATCCTTCATAAAATGTCCATACATGAAAAATATTAGATAACCCACGTTTTACGGCCTAAGTGACGGCAGACTGGACATATTTGGTTTAATGAGGGTCGTAGATGATTTACTTTGAATAATATATCAGTACACTATATGTACATTATGTAAAACATATTGTTGTTATACAGAGTAGGTCAACATCTACACAATGTCACAAGAAACATTACTAAAAATACTGAAGAAGAGTTTGTACATGAGACGATTTACGGATAAAATACCTAATCAGAGGCCTGTACCTTCTTCCCTTCCCTCAATCCCTAAATCTCCGATAGCCTAATCCCCAAAAGGCAGGCAACGCACTCGTAACTTCGGTTTTGCTGCGGGTTTCCATGGCCGGCGCCAATTGCTTATTTTTTGCTAATTTGTTTGAATAACTACGTGTGACATGGTGTATGTACCTTTTGACTAGTGTTTAGCAAACCTTAATATTAAATGCATAGGTACATCATGTGTCAAAAAAAACAAATATATTGCGAATAGTTCCTTTTTCATTATTTCCAAATAGCACAGTTCTATTTAATATAATGTTACAGTAAGCCGCTATTAAAACCAGACAGACAGTAAAACTTTAATCCTCTTTTGAATTAATTTGCTATTTGAGAGTTTATTCAAACTAAACCAACATTCGGAAATAGAAAATAAGTAGATTAAAACGCGAACTTTACAGACGTTATCTGGATGTATTCAAGCACATTTATGTGAGATTTAAACTGGCCATTAATCGCTTTAAGTGTCCTATTAATTACCGGTAGTTAACTGTAGCTTCATTGTAACAAAAAGTAGTGGGCAATTTCCTACGGGCCGGGCGGCTCGAGTTACTCAGATAAAAACTGCTACTCGTATTACGAAGCAACTAAAACACATCCATTTTAAAAACATTGTAAACCTCCAACTCATGTAACTCCAACCAAATAAACCAAATATGCGTTGGCACGAATGTGTCGGCTCGACCGGAGTGATACCACGACCTCACTGAAAACTGGCGTGAAACAGCCACAGCTTTGTGTTTCGCCATGTGAGTGAGGATACACTTTCCAATCCCTAAATCTCCAAAACCACACCGATCGGCACAGTACTCGTAACTCTTCCGTTGTTGCGGATGTCCATTGATTGCTTACCATCAGGTAAACTGTTTGCTCGTTTGCAGTCAGGTCACATAAAAAAGACATATTTATTTCGGTGAAATTGCCATTGCTAATAATCAGCTAAAGGTTAAAGATAAATAAATAGCTAAAGTTAAATATTTGAAGAGTTTAAGTAATTTTTCTGCCTTTCCATAATTTATTAAAATATTCCACTGATAAATTGAATAAATATGTATGTGTGTGCGTATATTTGCATACAGCTTAAATTGTTTGCCATTAGATTGCGATGATTGACATTAGATACATCTTTTTGTATCAATGAAAAATGTACATAAATGCACTGGTAATACGTTGCAATTTGTGGCAACTACATATTACATACAACAAGCAATTTCCTTCAAACATTAGTCACAGGAACATTGTCCTAGACGAAATACCCAGCAGACAATATCCTTCTAGGGAACACGGAATGACACATTTTTTCAATAGCGACTCGGCTGTTAAGGATTCAATTACGCTGTGAAGGATGAAAAGCCAGTTGTCACGATGAAGGGTGCTTAAGATTAATTAATGGTATTGTCGCAACCCTTGTCCACGCATGGTTCTTTATTAAATGAGCAGCTTATGTGTTTTGTTTTCTTATTTAATTAGACCCAGTTTTATTAATCTTTGCTTATTATGTGGTGGTTCTATTACGATGATTATTTAGGTCTAAGCGGGAAGTATATTACTACTATTTTTTTTCTCTAGTCGGATTATGTAACACTAATATGCTTAGTTGTTTTTTGTGAGGGGATAATCATCAAATGACTTCTCCCGCCCAGGGCTGAGCGGGAGGGAGTGTCAGACTCTTACTGACTAAAAACCCCCTGTTCCTTCTCCTGCTCTGGTGATTTCAACTTACTTACAATATAGTTTCCTATATTCAGTAATAATTTGTGTATGACGTCAAACATAAAGTTTTCTCAATGCTTTTACTAGAAATATGACTCCTGAATCATAAAATTGTCCATAAAACGATTTGTGAGATTGAAAGTTTAGAAAATATGTTTACCACATAACCTTGCAGATATTCTCTTGTTACGTTCGTTTTTCAACATAAATAGTGTTTATATTTATGTCTGAATATCAATCCACATTCATAATATTATGTTTGTTTATACCGAACTAGATGTTATAAATATTTTGTTTGTTACAAAACATACAAATCTGCACTATTTTAATACACCTTTAACTTGAAAAGTTTAATAAATGTTTTGCCCTGATGTTATTTATCGTTAATAAAATATGTAGCGTGATTGCTTTGTAATTTTATGAAATATTTCCAACGAATTCAACTACATTTTTAGATCTACATTTAAGATAAACTGAACGAAAAACCGTTGTGCATTTTCAAGATGGCGGGCGATTGAAGCACAGATAATAAAAATGAGTTCAAAGACATGAATGAAATCCTTTGCAGCAGTAAATTTAAAATTAATGGCGGTTAAATTTGTGACTCTATAATCAAAGCTCTGAGTTTTGATTCTCTTTTATCTGTAGCACGTATTTTTATTCATGACTGGTTCATTAGCCGCCAAAGAGATAGCAATTCATTTCGAAATACTTCGTTCGCGAACCTACTAGAATATTCTACACAATGTACGCAGTCGTGTCGGTAACCAACTTCCTCGTTTAAGAACTTTTGTGTTATAGTTCTCTTGCATTGTTTATGTATACACGCTATCTATGCATTCGTGCCAAGAAAAACTTTTTAACACCATTCTCAAATGAGTGAGTTTGCATATTTAAGCAGTTGGTGATAGAATAATTAACTTTGCATTGCGAAACTTCAACTTCTAAAGTATACGAAAAACTTAAATATTTGTTTCGACAATGTTCTGAGGGTTTATTCTTGGAGTAATATTTAGATGCAAACTTAGAATGAGTTGAAATCCGGGGAAATAACAAGCAATACTAAATGAAAGTTTCTTTGACCTTTCAATCGAAGCGAATAACTTTGACACTTTGTTGTGTCCGTTTGATGGTAGACGACTTATTCAGTTGACTGCACTGCATATTCCTGCACAGAACAACATTTAGTGTGGTCCACCATTTGTTGTTTCGGGTGTGATAGTAATAACTGACCCAGAGATTACGAACATACAGTTCAGATATACTATTGAGATACTATATGTATACAGGGACATGGAAACTATTTAGTTTTTTCTTCTCCCCAAATAATATCGTCTGATTTATTTCGTTGCGTGATCTAAGACAGTCATTCATGTGCCTGTGACACATCGGACTTCAGTGTTCTGGTGTTTTCATGGTTGTATCTACTGTAGATCCTGGCTTACAAGAGTTGCTACGATTTTGGGAGGTTGTAGTGAGCTTCGTAGCTTCGCGGCCGCGTTATTAAAAAAAGAAAAATAATAATCATTAGATTAAAGTGTCGTGTACCGTGTACAAATGTAATGTTTTTCCGATAGCACCCAAAACTTGTCACAAAAGAGTAGTAATTGCCGTTCATATATATAGGTATATAATATTCATGGTTCTTTTGTCTACTTAAACTGGTGTGGTTCCTTCCTCAAAAGACCAGGATTACAGAATGTACTCTCACATTATGTTATTTTTACATCGTCTAGACTTAAAAAGAGACTGACCCCTGAGTTTGTTTCGGCATTTCTTCGCAGAGTAGTCAGATAGGAAATGCCGGCTTCATCTAGTTTTTGACATAATTATAATTTGATGAGTAAAAGTGCCGTTTTATGGACTAATTGCAAAAACAAATTAATTGTATCATTGTTTATTAATATTTTAAAGTATAAAAATAACTTTCATTACTAAAGTATTCTCGTCTATATTTAGAAAGAGATTGAATTAAAATATCGTAGCGAAATAACACAATAACAGTATAAACAGTGGAGAACAAACAGCTCGCAGGGGAGCGAAAATAATTCTAGTTGGAAAGTTGACTTAATATCAAACATTCATTCAAAATTAATTTTAGTTTGTGCATGAAACTCTGAGTGAAATAGAGAGTTATATTATTAAAGTATTCAGCATTTGTTTAAGACTTTTCTGTGAAAAGTTAGTGGACTGCAGGTGTTGAAAACTTGTAATATCCTTTCATATTTTATTGGTCCGTTGATCCAGAAAATTAGATTTATTTATAAAGAAAATCTACGTAAGGTTACTTACCTAATACAAATTAATAAATAGTAAACACACAAAGTATGTCGTTCATTCGCTCAGTGCAATTCGACGCCATTTTTTTTAGTGACAATTTTGTGATTGGATATTAAAAACGAATTCAAAAACGTTCCTATTCCAATATATAATAGCAACGGTTATTTTAAATATTGGTTTATTTTTAAAAAATGGTAGTTCCATTTTGCGTACAATGAACCCAATATTCTGAATTCTAGAAAGTTCAATTATGTTACTGGCCCACGATATTTTATTGGCAATATATTAGGTACTGATAACAGTACTTTACGAATCCGTTACAGTTTAAGAAATATGTTTTTATTACGACTATAATTCATCTTTGCTAAGACGGTTTGTTTATCTTAATATTGTAACGATTGAGATTTAACAGCGTGTTATGTTAGCTCTTGCGAATATTATTTATTTGATGTAACGTAATTTGCTCCGCCTAACCCAATTTCTTTGATACAGATATTACTACGGTCGTAAATTGTTTTATTTTGTTATCTTAGACATGATACTGTTGAATTCAATGACGTATTATATATAGACACGTCATGAACCAACATCGCGGCGCTTAAAAACGGCGAAAATACTAGATAACTACTTCTACGAGTAAAGAAAGGGAAAGAAAATATGACATCGTATAGTGGAATGCCTTTGCTAGAGGGAGATAAATATACATCTTCAGTTACATCACAGGATAAGTACTTAATAGTAAAACTACATTTTCATAAGATGGCCGCCATAAGATGGCGGGCGCCGGCGTCGAAAAAAATAAAATAAAATAGGTTGTTTGGTGAACTTACGCATGAAATGACACATTTTTGTCTTTAACTTTTGGAGTATAATTTGTACATCGTCTGAACACACACGACGGCATGCTTTCTTTATGTTTCGCACAGGTTTACACACACGATATAAATGAAATACAAACGTAGCGTCGCGCGGCAGGTTGGTGCGTAACTAAGCGCGATGTTGTCAACTGCCTTCATTTCATGTTGTCATTTTAGAGCGCGGACAACGTATCTATAGTTTTATACATCATTGGTTGAATTAGTATTAAAGTAAAAATGAATTATCAATATAATTTTGATCTTAGATTGTAACACGAAAATCAATATATTATCAAGGAATTTATTTTAACTTTTATCATTATTTTGTAGTCGATTGAATTTTGAATTGGTTGTAATATTAAAGTGTTTGAAAATTTGCCCTTTCAATATTTTTGACGAATGTGTCAAGTACTTACCTAACTAATTTATGTAAAAGCCTTGAGATGGATTGCATGTGTTAGGAGTGCTAAAGTTTATAAATAAAATGAATAAGTGGTTTTTGTTTAATAAAGCGAATTACTTACAGCATGGTAATTTATTTTCTTTACTTCAATTTAACGTTCTCTTACAGCTTAATGATATATTATTTTTATTATAAACGTGTTATGTGTATAATTCTTATATATTATAAATCACCGATAGAGCATTATTGAAAAATTGATCAAAAAATAAATAAACCTGTCAAAATTCTACGCCTTAAATCCATTTTGTTCACACATCTGACGTCGCATAAATCAAAGTCCATCTTAATACTAGCTGCTGTATTAAGCCATTGTCAACAATCACTATCTACAAGATAATAAAACATAGATAACAGTACTTACTTGTAAAGCTAAGTTTAAGATCCAACTGCAGGCAGACAGAATATACGTCGACATGAGGTTGGTATGTATCGTGTTCCTTAGACATCGCAGGTCCCTGTAAATGAGAAAATAATATTAGCACAGGCTTAAAACACAGTCTAATAAAACATACGAACGTCTTCTGAATAAATATCTCGTGTAATTATAATTGCTGGCGCTTTGTTGAGTTTGTCAAACAAGTGAATATAAAGATGTACACCCGCATAATTTGTTGGGGCTGGGCGGAGCTGACGGCAAAAAGACGTCCTCGTTCATCCTAAATATGGACGATAGCTTTGAGTTATAAATAGGATGTACGAATACTTCTTCTGAACTTTCCTAATTAGTTAGAAAGTAATATGTGTATTTTATTTATTTACTCAGAAGTTACTGTGAAGATTGTCTCGTTATAGCTCTCGCGAGAAGTGATTAATAAGCGTCAAGAGGTTCTATATTGAATTTTCAGTTTTCAGGAAAGATTTTGTCTAGATTTTTTAGACCAGAAATTATTATTCTTAAGTTGTAAGTATTCTTAGTTTAGCAACAAGGTCGTGATATTTTACAATTATTATTAACAATGACAGAAAACTTTGTAGGATAACCACCTGAGACAATGTTAATGAAATTTTTCTCTGGTGTGCGGTCCATATATTATGTAGTTAGTATAAGGCCGTGCTTAGCTCACAAGTATCGTGAATATATACAGGGTGGCATTTTGAACGAGGCAAAATTAAAACAACTGTTTCCAACACGAAAATAATAATGGTAAAAAATATTTACTTCTCCATTGTATAGGGAAATAAATTTATTTTTGAGATTTGGATATTGGTCCCACGGAAAAAGTAGAGCACCAAATCGGCTTCTTGAATAAGTCCCATGTTCAAAATTGAACGAGGCAGGTATAAAACAGACACATTTATTTGACTTTCACAAGCATAATAAAAATGCATATTATATTTAATGTCTGCATGCTGAGATTTAGCACATACCATTCCTGTACTTGTAGGTTAGGGACCTAGCAACGGTCCGAACATCCACGAATGACATCACAATTATTTCGTCACTAACTTTGAGCTCACACGCTTATGGCTTTAGCAAATTACTTTAACGCCCTCTGGCTCTAATTTGTGTACTGCTTAACTTGCTAATGACATTTAGAGCACATTCAGGCCTCATTCTGTGGCTCAAAGGCCTGTAATTAGTACTTTGGGATTAGAATTACTTAAAAGTCCAAACTCACTGCAAATGAGAATGTTTCGCGAAGCTCACAAACTTAACAATGTCACGTTTTTTTGTATGTGAATAAGTTTTATGTTGCGGTTTTAATTAGTAAGGTTATTATAACAACATGACATTTATGATGTTCAAAAAAAGAAAATGCTTTTTTTTTTCTTTTTTTAACACAATAAGTTTCCATATTTTTTTAAATGTGAATATTTATTCCGTTTTTTGGAATTATGATAAAAAAATATGAAACATTTTTTTTGTAATTTTCTTTTCCTAGTTTGCCATGTAATTTAAAAAACAAACGTTTTACTATTAATTCCTTTATTATTATATTATTATAAAGTAAGAATTAACGCATTTATTAAAATGAATATTCAACTTTATATCGATCAAAACCAAACATTACATTTTGACAATATTATCCTGTATGTTTTACAAGAATAAAATAACCACTGACAATACTATCTATAACTAGAAATGTATCACTATTTATCACAATATTTATCTATGATCTTTGCACATCATATCGTTCGTAGACCGACAGTGTGAAGTGGCAGGCGGTAGCTAGATAATACGTCTGTAACTTTAGATTTTGCATCTGTGGCGTTCCAACACGTGGTTACTATAGCTAGTTGCTTACCTTTAGTAGCCACGTGTCAGTTGCATGCTAAATTAATCTGTATTAATATTATAAAGAGGTAAAATTTGTAATTTGTAAGTTTTTAATATTATGTCCTTAAACTTATCCGTTGGTAATGTTTGGAATCGCTGGTCGGATTTCCAAAATGGTTTCACTGATATCTATCAGTGCATTATTGTAGCTATCTAGCTACAATATTCCTGAGTGCTATAGGCTATAAAACATAACGCTACGATCAAATGGAGCCAGACAGCGGGTGAAACCGCGCGCGTTTAGCTAGTAAAATCTATACTTTAACGATTACGATTCTGTCAGATCCTCCAAACCATTTTTAAATTAAGAACATGCATTCGTTTCTTTGTTCTGTACCTACTCTTTGATGCTATAACTTATTATTTTACTTAATTTTTTTACCTTTCCTAAGTTTAAAAAGATTTCTTTCTTCTTTTTGTACCTATTAAACAGTCGAAATAAGTTATTTTTGATTTAAAAACTATGATTTTTAAGTATGGAGGTTTATTAAAAAAAGGCGTTAATACGTTTAAAAAAGGAACGTAATCTTAAATCAGAACACGCTATTATTCAGATTGCATATTCTGTTCTTGTAAGCTATTCTTATAAGTAATGAGTGTGCTCAGCTCCAAGTTATAATGGAGTATGTTATAATAGTCTGTAACTTGCAAGCAGTGACAAAGTGCACACTGTTCAACTAGTTCTGAACTCATATTACTTGCTAACAATAACTCTATGATATACATCTTTAAGAGGTGAATAATGTTAAAGCTGTGACCATTATTTTTTATAGTTCTTAAGGATCAAAATAAATTATGTACTAAAGTTTCTGAATGCTATAATATTAAGACAGACCGTTCCATATAATTTTATTGGTATTGTAAGTTTTTGTTCTTGAATAGCATTACTAATTTGGTTTATAAAATGTTAAAAGTTTTGTTAACTTTTATCGATGACTTCATATGTACTTATTTTAAGTTTGATACAAGTTTTAATAATAAATTAAATTTTATAAAATAATACATTCCCAACAACAAAATTAGATTACTATTCTATCTACTACTATTCATTCAATTATATCTAGATATACTAATATTATAAAGAGGTAAAATTTGTAAGTTTGTATGTTAATTATTGAGAATTTAAACGAGCGGTTCCAAAGATTTCTCCCTAATCATTGGAACCGCTCGCTGGTTGGATTGCCAAAATTCTTTCACTGATAGATAGCTACAATGTTCCGGAGTGCTATAAAACATCACGCTACGATCAAATGGAGCGGAGCAGCGGGTGAAACCGCGTGAGAATAGCTAGTTTTTTTATATTTTACATGACTATGATAGCACATCCAATTAAGTCAGGTACAGCAACTCATTTGAAGAACCGTACATACACGTAAACATTACATGTACCTTTATACGTATACTTGAATTTACTGATAATATTCAAAGGACTTTAGCCCTAATGGAAACAATAATATGTCGGTCATAATAGTCATTTTACGAATGACATCAGATGTTATTATGATTTGATCGCGTCGTTTGAATGTATGATGTTAGTTAATGGCTATAATCCATGGCGGAGATGCCGTGCCAAGAGATATTCGCCATACTAATGCTAAACTAAATGTAGGATAATGTGACAGCTTAGATTGTGGCACTTTGGAGGATATTGTCTGTTTATTGTAATGACGAGTGTATGAGTTGTATGCGTATATGACTTGGCTGTCTTTGACGTAATTACCTATATTTTAGTACATTTCATTCTTAGGTAAAGACAGAAGTATTTTTTTACGGAATAGTAAATGAGCTGTTGGATTTCCTTATGGTAACCAATCGGCGCCGCCTATAGATACTCGCAATACCAAAGGAGTTATATCTATCTATATATACGTTGCTGGCCCTTTAGGAATAAGGGTTTCGGATAGTTAAGAATTGAGAAGTTTTGGAGGGAGAGGGAAGGACTGGGCACACAGCGAAACACAACGCTGTGGTTGTTTTACGCCGGTTTTCAGTGGAGTCGTGGTATCACTCCGGTCGAGCCGATCAATTCTTGCCGAAGCTTGGCTCCCCAGGGTTCACAACTATTAATTAATTCACTTTTTTAAGGGAAATCTAATATCGAATATAGTTATGAAAACGATTACCAATTTTGTATGGGTTGTCGGCCTTTTCACATGGGATGAGTTTATTTTAGACTCTAGAAACTGACGCGGTGAGACGCAGTGCACAATGCTTAACGCTGGGTATCCTTAAGGGTTTAATATGCCACCCATTCGCCAACGCATAGCACTCCCACGTGATCTTTCAAATCGACTTTACACGTACGTGCTCGGCGAAAATTACGCCTCCAAATATTGATATTTCCCAAAATATTGTTACTTATAGCTAAGTAATCATATTTGTTGGTGTTTTGATACAGCCAGGGTCGTAAAGTTTTCGTATACGAGCGATATTATGGCGGCAATAATATCTTGGCACGGCTCTTCATAAATCGAAGTATACATTTTAGATGGCCATTAAATTGACACTGGATATAGAAACTGTTTTGTACAGATTTGGTAAATAAATAGAACAAGGAGGTTTGATAAATAACTGATTTAGTTCTGGTTTGTTTCTGAATAAATTATGGTACTGTTTGAATGTTGGTAACAAAATGACGGTACGAATAAAATTGACGATTTATAAAAAAATATATCATTAAGGATGTTTTTATATTAAACCATTTTTTTGATGACTATCATAGCATTGAACTGGAAAGATATTTTTTCTTGTCAATGTAACTTGAATTAATTTGTTTTTATGATTATTGCGAACGAAAAGAAAAGAAATATTGTTTTCCTGTCTCGACTATCAAACCTAGCGACTCATAGACAACAGAATAAGTAAACAAATAAAACAACGTTCCTTGCCAATTTAAGTCAGCTTAATTTGAATAAGAAAAAAAGAAATATAAATACTAAAATGTAAAAGAAAAGCGACAGTTATAACAAACAAGTTTCTCCTGTATCAAGTAAATGTTGGGAACGTCAAATTATATAGGACACAGAGTCTAGACTAGACTACAACAGACATAAGATGTGACACACACACACACACACACACACAACGAAAACTAGTTCGATCACTAGATTCCCTTCCACATAAAAAAATAATAATAACAAGTACCAAGTTATTTCATTTTGTCAACTTTAATAAAGT